TTTTACTAATCAATGTTTTAATGTAATAGGAAAAAAACGTATTGTTATCAACCATACAGCACATTGGTGCTCGTCTGAGCAGGCGTCTGAGCTTGTCTCTGCCGCCAGAGATAACGGACGCACACACCTTCAATTCCATTCCACTGAAACAACATGAAAACATTTACAAGGCTTTGCAGTATGGTGTCCCTCTACCTATCTAGATGAATCTCCCTCTCTGTCCCTCTCTCTTTCTAATGCACACTCTCACACACTCATGGGTCCCTACCTCCACCCCCGCCCCCCAAAGCCGCAGTGCCACAGCCCCCAGCTCTCCCAGCATGCCCCTCTTTCTCTTACTCTAATGAGTTGCAACACAGATAATGTGGCTGATGATCTTTCATTGATTTGGCTATCACTTGCTTGTCTGGTAATTGATCCGTAGCTGAGGCTCTAGTTAATTATATGGGCTTCGACATGGCCCCTGCTCTGGGGGGAATTTCAAGTCTTGCAGAATAATAGTTTTAATAAAGGAGTCTATTACTGTGGCTGTGTGCCTTTTTTCTGCCTGCTTCAGAGATTTCCCTCACCGTGGGACCTTTTTTTCCTCTTCCTTTCTCTTTCCCTTTGCTGCATATCACACTTCTCTTCTCTTCTCTTCTCTTCTCTTCTCTTCTCTTCTGTGATGTACAATGGTTATTGTTAAATGTTACAGCACAGTGTACAACTTTGTAACCATCATCCTCTGCTGAACAAAAGTGAAAGACAGTGAAGAGAGAAAAAGGGGACAGTACACTGATGATAAAAAAGGGAGGGAGAAAGATGAGAAAGAGGGAGAGAGACAAAAGGATGAGAGAGGAAAAGGAAAAAGAATGAGGCGAGAGAAAGAAATATAGAGAGGAGAAAGGGGCAAAAGAGAGAGAGTAAAGAAGACAAAAGAAGAGAGAGATAGAGTGCGAGAGAAAGAGAGAAGAGAAAGGGACAGAGAGAGAAAAGAGAGAGAGAGAGAGAGAAAAGAGAAAGTGACAGAGAGAGAAAAGAGGAGAAAGGGGCAGAAAGAGAGAAAGAGAGAGAAAGAAATGAGGAGAATGAGAGAGGCTGACAGAGTCGCTGAAACCACCCACAAATAAGAGAGCTGTTAATGGGGAGAGCAGGAGCAGCTGAAAGACTGAGTGGCACTCGAAAAATCAAGAGAGCAGCACAGAGAGAGAGAGAGAGAGAAATAGAGAAGGAGATATGTGACAGTGGGGAAGTGACTGGAAACACTGAAGAAAAAAAAGAATGTGAGAGATGTTGGGATTTTTATGGAGTGGACCTTGGCTGCTGGTTTAAATGGCACAATCTACAGCTGCTAGAGAAGAGAGGAGATTTAATTGATGTCTATTCACTCATTTAGAAACCATTGTTAAACAGAAATAAAGAGATAAAGAGGAGAGAGAGGGAGAGAAGGAAAAAACGGCAGACACGGCGGGCGACAGTGTGACAGTCGGCTCCCATTACCGTCCATTTACCTGAAATAATGTGGCCTTCAGTGGCCAGAGTGAGACAGAGAGAGAGAGAGTGATGAAAGGAGAAACAAAAGAAGGTGCGTTAAGTTCTTATGTCGGCTGCCACCGTTTTTCTTGCTCTTTTTTATCCACTCGCTGTAAAAGGAAAGAAAAAAAAGAGAAGAGATTTGATCAGACAAAATGCTGCAGAGATTACAGTGGTAAAGGTTAGCACTAGCTGTCATTAGTGCTGTACAGAAGGCTTTTAACACACACCAACCGCTGCTGTCTCCTACAATTTACCACAAATTTTCAAGTGGCTTTATATATATATATATATATATATATATATATATATATATATATATATATATATATGTGTGTGTGTGTGTGTGTGTGTGTATGTATATATATATATATATATATATATATATATATATATATTATATATACACATGGGTGTGTATATAAACATGTATATACACATACTTTATTAAAGGCCTATATATATGCATATATTTATAAATATAAATGTAACACAAGTGTGTGTTTGTACCATCCACAGAACACTCACTACTGACATTCAAAAGTTTGGAATCACATGTCATATCAGTACTTTTTGTTTATTCTTTATATACAATATTTTTAGCATTATATAATGTAGAAATGTTGTAATATAATGTTATGTAGTGTGATATTCTTTTCAATATTGTAAGTATTTAAGGATCAACAAGAAATGATAAAACGTACTGTACTGTAATTCTCCGTTCACATTATTTTTTCTCAGGTTTTCGGCCTCCAAATTTGATCATCACTTTTAAACAATGATGCATTATGAATGCTAATTTTATTAGAACATCATTCTGGATATTAATTTTCTTATAACTTTATTTATAATACATAGCTTTCTGAGTTTGAGAATAATCATCTTCATAATTATTTGATGCTAACATATTAGAATAATTATATACACTTTTTTCTCATCTTTATACATCATTGTATATACACATATATATGTATGCAGAGAGAGGTTTATATATACATAATGCAAGCGATTTTGAAATAGTCACTTTGCGCACACACACACACACACACACGCACACAGCGAGTTTGCAGTGACACCTTGTTCACTGCTTAAAGACAGGCTTAAAGACTGTCATTTTAGCCCCTAGCATCAGGGGAGAGTGGAGTGTGTCAGAGAGAGAGAGAGAAAGAGAGAGAAAGGGAGAGAGAGAGGGAGGAATATGCACAATAATAACAAAAAATAGGTTCATTACACACGACATTTTTCTCTGGAAATGTCTCGTCATGTAAAACGTGTGTGTGAGAGGCTTATGCATGCGTGTGTATGTGTGTGATGCTGCTTTTCTCTTTGTATTCCCCTCTTTGTGGTTCTCGGCTGCTGGGACTAATTTGGCAGAAATGGAAGCTCTTCCTCATTTTTTTTTTCTTAATTAAAATCTGAAAGCATCCACATGGGGGTTCCCTCAGTGTGTGTGTGTGTGTGTGTGTGTACAAGCTTGTGTGTGCGCAAATGGGGATAAGTGTGTGTATGATTATGTGGCCTGCCACACTCATGGTATGTTTTTGTGTGTGTGTGTGTGTGTGTGTGGTTGTGTGTGATTAGAGCCATTAGCAGACAAAGGAAGCAGATCGTAATAAAGCTAGCATTGGTCTGGCCACCTTAAAATAACTGGAACTGCCTTTCTATCATAAACACACACACACACACACACACACACAAACATATCATGAGGGCAGGGCGCATAATCATACATACATACACACACTGGCAGGTATAAAGTGTACAGAAGTGTCTGGTGTTATTGTTCCTTTCTTTCCACCACTGTTTTCTAGTGTGTGTTGGGCTCCAGGCTGAAGTGTGTATGAACACAGCATGTGAAAGTGTGTGTGTTTAAATGTTTACACAGATCTGCACCATGGAACTGCAAGTGTGTGTGTGTGTGTGTATCAGCTCCTCTGAGGATTGGTGTGGAGAAGCATGAGCTGGTAATAAGACAGGAACAGTCAAGGTTTCCTCTCACTCTCTCCCCCCCCCCTCTTTCTCTCTTTCTCTCTCCCTCTCTCTTTCTCTCTCTCTCTCTCTCTCCCCTCTCTTCCTCCCCCTCTCCTTTTTCTCTTTCTAACTTTCTCTCAGTTTGTCTGTCCCTTTCTTTCTTTCTTTCTTTCTTTCTTTCTTTCTTTCTTTCTTTCTTTCTTTCCTATTCTCCATCCTTCTCCTCTCTTTCTCTCTTTCTCTCTTTCTCTCTCTCTCTCTCTCTCTCTCTCTCTCTCTCTCTCTCTCTCTCTCTCTCTCTCCTCCAGTGATCTGCTCCCCTACTGAGTGAGAGAGTGAGAGAGAGAGAGTGTCATTGAGTGCCAGTGAGTGGAGAGCAGTTGACTCAGACGCTCTCTGGCCTAACACACACACACACACACGGCAACATGCTGCATTCACAAGTACACACTCACACGGTGCTAACGGAGCGCAGAGGAGTTTGTCTGGAGAGATACAGAGAGAGAGAGAGAGAGAGAGAGAGGCAGAGAGAGAGAGGGAGGGCACCTGATCTCACAGCTGGGAGGGAAAGTGGACAGTTGATGGTGAGACTGAAGAAAGCAGAGATTTATTGTTGTTTTAATCTCTTTTAAATAAAGTGTCACTTTATGAGGACTTTTACTTGTTTTTGAACATCTGTATCCGTTAATTTATTAATTTAGTCAGTTTTGACTTTGATCAGTGTTTGGGTGTGTGACAGTGAGGGGTGTTACTGAAGAGTAAAGGTGTGTATTATTTTTGCTGAGGGAGATTTTGGGGGAGTATTTTGTATGGTGTGTGTGTGTGTGTGTGTGTGTGTGTGTGTGTGGAGTGTGTGAGGGGTTGAAAGGGCACGCTTCGGGTGAGTGGGTTTGTTTGGCAAGTGGTTTCTGGTTGGAATGTATGTCCGTGTATATGTGCGTGTGTGTGTTTGGAGGGCAGCCCGTGACTGACACACAGAGAAAAGCAGGCGGGAGGTGTGTGTGTGTGGATTGGGAGGGGGGGTGGATGGGGGGTATCCTCTCCTCCTTCTCCATCTTTTCTGCCATCCCCCTTTTCTCTCCCTCCTCCTCCTCCTCTCTCGCTCCCTCCCTCTTTTCTTCCCTCCCTCCTTACCTCCCTCACTCCTCGCTCGTCCTGCCCTCTGCTAGCACATGTGGCCCCTGAGGAAATCTCCAGCGCGCTGCTGAATGAACTCGACACACACACACACGCACACACACACACACACACACTCTCACACACGCACACACACAGTCTCCGCTAACCGGCAGCGCGCTCTACTCCTCTCTCTCTTTCTCTCCGGAGAAAGACAGGAAAAGAGAGAGTGAGTGAGTGAGTGAGTGAGTGAGAGGGGAAAAGCAACAGGAAAGGGAAAAAGAAAAGAAAAGGAGAGAAAAGGAAAAGAAAAGAAAAGAAAAGAAAGAGAGGAGCATCTGTTTTTTTTCTTTGCTTCACTCTGCTCTCTCTCTCTCTCACTCTCTCGCCACTGCTGCCAGTCTGCAGAGACGGAGCTGGATGTGAGAGGAGGATCGGAGCAGGAGATCGCGAAGGAAGAGGAGAGCGGCGGAGGGAGAGGTGGAAGAAGAGAGGGAAGAAGAGAAAGAGAAGAAAGAGAAAGAGACGGACGAGGAGCAGAGAGCTCCATGCAGTTCAGCACCAGACCGGCCAGCGTGGAGCCGGGCTACATGGGGACATGGCAGCAGCAGAACACTGACAGCAACCTCCTGTTCAGGATGTCCCAGCAGGTCAGTCAGCCTTTACACTCCTCCACTCGTCTGTCCATCCCTCTCTTCTCATCCTTTTTATCCCTGTATGTCTGTCTGCTTGTATGGATGCAACTTTGTTGTCCGTTTATGATAATTTGACCTTTTGGCTGCATTGAAACTTGAAGCTAAATATGTAAACATAAGAAAAGAAATAAAAGACGTAAACAAGCTTCACAACATCTCTCCATCTCTCTCTCCTCATCCCTCTCTCTCTCTCTCTCTCACTCTGTCTGTCGGTGTAGACGCATAGGTAACTTTAGTGTCTGTTTCCAATATTTTGTCATTTGCCTTGTATCGCTGCAGAGGACATGAACTGTAAAAAAAAAATATATAAAATACACATTAAAAGAGTTTAGCTCCATCCCTCCATCCCTATCTCTTCTTCTTCATCCCTGCATTTCTTTGTGTCTGCACACAAACATAACTTTATTTTACATTTCCAATATTTTGTCCTTTGCTTAATGATGGCTCACAAGAAATGCATTATAACAAAACTAGACACAAAACAAACATTAAAATGTAAATAAATAAAGCGCTTAAAGAAGCTTCGTTCTATCCCTCCATCCCTCTCTCGTCATCCCTCTCGCTCTCTCTGCCCATACACACACGTTGTCAACTTTATTGTTTTCAGTAATTTGTCTCAGGCTTCATGGTTCCTGCATTACAACTAGAAGCAAAGGGCATAAACAAAACAAACAAAAACAGAAGAGCGTCAACGCATCCCTTCATCTCTCTCTCTCTTTCATCCCTCTTTCTCTGATAGATCACTCCATGTAGACATGATGATAACTTTATTGTCGGTTTCTTAGGCTGAAGGTGAAGGCTGTTTACAGCACGAACAAACTAGAAACAAAACACTTCTTTTTATCCCTCTCTCTTCATCCTTTTCTTTAGCTTTATTTTTCAATGTATGAAAATTATTTTATTATCAATTTCTGGACTTTTGCTTTGGGGCTTGCCCGCTTCACAGCTCTAAAAAAAAGGAGTAAAACATAAAAACTACTACAAAAAAAAAAACATTAAAGGGTTTCCATCCCTCTATCTCTCTGTTCGTGTAGATCGGTTGTTGTCAATGCTTGTCCTGGATGTTTGAATGTTTTCACACTCTAACGCACCTGATTATTCAGCTCAGGTGTGTTTTTAAATGAGAAAAAACGCTAAAATATCCAGAGAAAGGTAGAGAAACACTAGAGTAGATAGATAGATAGATAGATAGATAGATAGATAGATAGATAGATAGATAGATAGATAGATAGATAGATAGATAGATAGATAGATAGATAGATAGATAGATAGATAGATAGATAGATAGATAGAACTTTATTTTTTCTTACATCAAAATATTTTACAAAATAAAATAGAAGCAAAAAGAAACCACATAAACATAACCCTAATACATAAAAGAGCTTCATCCTCCACTTTAACGTAGAGGTAAGGCTGAAATAATAGAGTAAACGTGCTGCTCAGCGATTCTCTCTGTGTGTCCCGTGTGTGCTGCGCTCTCATCCTGGTGTTACTGGTGCAGAAATGCGTGAGTGTGTGCATGTGTAAGTTTCTTTGTGTGTTTTGCTTTAAGTGGCGCTGTAGTGATTGTGCTGCCTGTAGTGTTTTTTGTATGATGCATGTTCTGTTCTTGTTTTAGATTTTTGTAAATAAGGTAACAAAGCAATTCAAAACCGTATTTTTAATTTTGTTTTCAATTCGGAGTGTGTGCATGTGACTGTGTGTTTGTACACACTATCATTGTTACTTTTGTTTATTTATTTAGTTATTTGTTCTGTGTAGATTCTGAATGGTGGGAATATTGCAGGGATCCATCCTGCTGTGCCATGTGTGTGCTGTCCGTGTGCGATGTGTGATGTGTGTGTGTTTGGTTTGGGTCGGCCCGTGCTCTGAAGTAAATGACCTGCCTGTAAAACGCTAAAACACACACTTGCACACACACACGCTCTGGTTTACAGCTGGTTTGATTCCACAATTTGCAGAGATGAACACGAGTGAAAGGAACAGAGAGTGAGAGGGGGTTCGGGGGAGTTATTTGGCAACCTTCAGTGCCGTGCACTGTGGAAGGAGTGATGGAGAGGGGAGTGCAGGGGTGAAGGGGTGGAGGGAGGGGGGCAGTTGGCTTATAATTCATCATCAGGGCCGGACCCTCGGTGCCATGCACGGAGTGGTACACGCACCCGCCGCCTGGACACTTCTTTACACAACACACACACCGGGGGCTGCAGGGTCCAAGTAAGGAGGGGGAGCATATTTCTTTTTTTTTTGGTTGTTGAGGGTTTTTGGCACAGGACTGATATAAAGCCTAAAACAAAGATTTAAAGTGCACAAAGTATAAAAGTGCTTAAAATAATGCTTCTTTTATAGCTTGATAAGCTTAGTATATCTATTCATCTATCTCTCTCTATATATATTTGCAGACTAACCACTAACCATAAGTTAATCAAATATGCTATTTGACTACTTACTTTATTCATGCAGCATGTGTGTGTGTGTCTGTGTATGTGTGTTGTTGCTGCTCTGCTCCTCTCACCTGCTGCTCAGGTGACCTCATGCTGGTGCTTCTGCTGTAGTGTGTGTGTGAGTGTGTGTGAGTTTGATGATGATGATGAGTTAAGTCACTCAGATCCCCCAGATTATTGTATTAAATTAAGGGTAATGCTGGTAATGGTGCAACAGGAGTTTTGGGTTCAGAGTTACTACCTTTACAATCACCACACACACACACACACACACACACACACACAAGGTGAGGAAGTTTAAATACACTCTTAATAAAAACACTTTCCACGCTGCTGTGGGCTTTAAGGCTGCTGCTCTGTACTGATCAGATTGAGAAAGGAGGGAACAGGTCTGTAAATAAAGTGTATAAGTGGGAGAAACGAAATAAAAACAGAAGACCTTCAGCACCTTTTAGTTATTAGTTATTTAGTCTCTGAAGAGAATTCGTTTGAAAACATTATTATTATTATTATTATTATTATTATTATTATTCATTTAATTCGTTCTATTTTATTATACTTTTTTATTGTTGCTATACAGTTAAAGTTGAGTGTGCGGCGTGCTGCTGTGTGCGGGCTCCTCGTGCGGCTCCGCTCTGTGCTGCTCCGCGCGCGCTGTTCGCTGCGTGTCTCACCTGTTTCGGAATAGCGGCTTTGGGATTTTTATTACTTTTGTATTTTATTGTGTTCATTTATCAGCGCTTTGATGTGTGTGTGTTGTGTTTTGTGAGCGTGCGCTTGTGTTCTAGAACGTTCAGCCAGTGTTCTAGAACGTTGAGCCTGTGTTGCAGAACGTTCAGCATGTGTTCTAGATCGCCGACGATGTTGATGCTGCCGGAGTTCTAGAACGCTCAGTTCCTCGCTCCGTGCGCGCGCTCTGTTCCACCTTGTGTCTGAGCGCCGCTTTGATGCGCCGCCGCGCGCGAGCCGCGCGCACACACACGCACACACACACACACACACGCACACACACGCACGCACACTCACACACACACGCAAACACGGAGTGATCAAAGATATGATGATGATGATGATGATGATGATTATTATTATTATTATTATTATTATTATTATTATTATATTCTTGTTTTTACTGTAGTTAAACTGACCTCAGGCGAAATAACCATGCAGCACCATCACATTAAACATCTAAATAAAAAAGATATAATAATAATAATAATAATAATAATAATAGTAATAATAATGTGTTTGAGCGCTGTGCTGCTTAAGCGACGCTGCTGTAATTAAACGTAATGGATATATAATATTTCAATATTACACCCTTTCCACTCCTGTGAAAACGAACCTACTGTCAGAATAATAATATTAAAGATTATAATAATAAAATCGATTTAATAAAATGATGATTAAAATAATTCTTTTTTTTCTCTGTGGTTATTATATTTCTCTTATTTCTGTTCCGTTATAAATAATAATTCAGATTACTGTAGAAAAGTGATTTATTTCCTGCAGGTACAGTAGTGTTTAAATTCGTACAGTCACTCACAGAGCACAGTTATTAATGTGATTATTAGTTAGTGATGATTACTGTGTTTATTTTGAATCTGGCTGGTTTTTCCTGCGTGTTGTTTGAGCGCTGAATGTGGCGCCGTGTTTCTGCAGAGCGGAGCTAAAGGAGCGAACCGCAGCGCTTTAGACCGACAAAACAAACAAACAAATATACAAAATAGAGAAAATAAACAAAAGACAACGAACGAACAAACGAACAAACAAATAAATAAATAAATAAATAGGAGCGATGATTACAGACACCTTAACAGCTAACTCATAAAAACAGAAATAATGTGTAAATTTATTTCACTTTCTCTGTATTTATTTGTCCTTCTCTCTCCTCTATCTTTCTTTCTCTCTCTTTCCTCTCTCTCTTTCTCCTTCTCTTTCATTCTTTCTTTGTCTCTCTCTATCTCTCTATCTCTCTCTCTCTCTCTCTTTCCTTCTCTTTCCTTCTCTCTCTCTCTCTCTCTCTCTCTCTCTCTCTCTCTATGTGTCTCACTCTCAGTTGTGAGCAGGTGTTTGACGTCCTCTCAGTCCAGAGTTAAAACAGAGAGAAATTCTAATAAATCTCACTGAATTTAATTAAAGTAAAAACAAACAGTTTAAATCATTAAATCATCTCTATCACACCAAGCCTTTACTGACCTGTACTGACCGGGGTCAGAGAGTCTGCTACTGACCACCAGATTTACGTGGATTTACTAATACATCACAGAGAGAGAGAGAGAGAGAGAGAGAGAGATGATTTGACATATACTTAAACATGATCACACCAGTAAAGCTTAGTGAACTGAGCTGAATTACATCATGAGTCGAGTTGAACTGAATTAAAACGAATTGAAGGAGAGACAGAGTGAAAGAATGAAAGAGAGAGAGAGAGAGGGAGAGCAAGAGAGAGAAGAGTGAAAGGTACAGAAAAGGAGAATGGAGAAAGAAAAGAAACAGAAAAACAGGGTTTGGACATTCTGTTGTTCTTCTCTCTGTACCTGTTTGAACTGATTCCTGTTCCTCAGTTTTTCACTTCTAATCCTGCACACTTCCTCTGTCTACATCTCCACACGTCTTTTTCTTTCCTTTTTCATGCTTATTTTAATTTATGTGTGTAATCATCACATGAATTAATTTACCATAGTTATGGCTTTTAATAAACATTTGTCAGCGTAGTTTGTATCAGTTTCTGTTTCAAGTTGCCTTTAATATTCATGATCTAATTCCTGCAATTTTCCCATTTGCACGGCAGTGTTGGAATATTAAGTCCAAAAGCTCTGGAGGAATAAGAAGCTTGTGTTTATTGGGTTTGAATTGAATGCGTCTGTCTGTCTCCTGGACTTTCTTTACGTGAAGTCTCTCAGATTCAGGAATGGAAAGACTTTAATTTGATCATATTTTGTCTGATAAATTTATATCTCACTCCTTATATCTCACAGTTTGTTCATCATAAGGTGGATAGAGAGAGAGAGAGAGAGGGAGGAGAGAGAAAGAAAGAAAAAAGAGAGATAGAGAGACAAAGAGACAGAGAGATTCAGATTGAGATTTTTTGGTGTCGTTCTCTGGTGTGTTCCGAAATGCTGCTGGGATGTTTGTGTGTGTGTGTGTGTCTGTGCTTTCTGGATGTCCTGTGTGTCTCACACTCCTCTGAAGTCCACACATATCGATCTGCTTCACATTCTTATTCAGCTGAAAATCCTCATTCGGAGTGTGTGTGTGTGTGTGTGTGTGTGTGTGTGTGTGGTTGTGTGTGGGCGGCCGTGCGAGAGTGTACTGTCCCCTCCAGCTGCAGACCTGTGTGTGTGATCGATAGCTGACACTGAGTCCGTCTCTCAGCTCGCTGAGGGCTCTGTGTGTGTGTGCACGCGTGTGTTTGTGTGTGCGTGTGTGTGTGTGTGGAGGCATGTTAAAAATGTGAGCCCCTGGTCTTATCAGTGAAACTGAGCTACTCTTACTGAACACACACACACACACACATTTTTTGTGTGTGTATATGACAGTGTTCATGTGTGTATTGCCGACAGTAATATTTTTAACCCCAAACATCTGATCATCGTTTTAATAACTCTGACTCCTCCTCCTGCTGCTGCTTCATGTTCCTCTCTTCACACGTTTCGTAGTTGAGCTTCTGTAGACAGTCTGTACGTTGACTATTTTTTTGAAGATGACAGAAACGTTGTTCCTCTAATTACCATCAGAACTGAAAGAGGAGCAGGAATAACTAATGAAGCTAAAACACATACATATTCAATAATGTCCAGTTTTCTCTGGTGTTCTCATCATGTTTTTGCCACAATGCGGCTCAGTTCATTTGATCTGAATTGAGTCCTGATCTGATGTTTATATTTTTGTAGTTATAACCGCACAATGCTCTTTTCAAGTTTATTAAAGTCATTTGAGTCTAATTGAAATCGAATTTAGATTAGATGTGCTAAATGACCAACACTGCTATGTAAAATCATTTAACTGACACAACTGATACATTTGCAAAATAACAGTTTTTTCATTTAATAATGATTTATGATCTAATTTGATTGACAGATCTGACGATTTTGCTACTGGTTACTTTACTACAGTACGGTAAAATCACTTTATTTCAGCATGTTTATATAGTGATGCACTCTGAACTGATATATTTTGAGATTTTTTTATATATGTATTAGAAATCACCACTTTATTGTGTGTGTAATATTGACTGATGATCAGATTTGATTGACAGATATGATGATTTTGGCTACTAGTGAATCAAACGTTGCAGTGAACTTACTTTATTTTAGCGTGTGTCATCTGTTTTGTTTGAAGTGACTTTTTGAAATGACCATAAACAGTGTGTGTAATATTGTGCTTGTGTTACTCTGTCAGTGTATTATTTGTTGTCTAGCTCTCTGAGGTCAGAACATGTCACTTTCCCTTTTTGTTTTGTCTCTCATTCTCACGTCCAGGGTGCAGTTTTTGGTCATTGTAAGCGTTCCTTGCAGCTAAATGACCCAGATCCTAGATAACACAGCTATTCAAATCAGAGAAACAGGGGGAGCGCTGGTCTTTTCTTTTCTTTTCTTTTTGGAATTGGGGATTATTTTTCTTGTGGGGTTTCTGGTGCTGAAGGGAAGTGTGTTAGTGAGGGAAAAGGGAAGCCGCTGTTTGAATAGACTGGAACACGCACTCAGGCAGGATGTCACCACCCCTGGGGCGGCTAACTGCGACATTAGCGCCGTTCCGCTCCTTGTTAGTGACCTGACTGTGTGTGTGTGTGTGCGCAAATGTGTGTGTGTGTGTGTGTGTGTGTGTGTGAGACACACACGGAATGTTGCAGCTGCCACGGGGCACACAGGCACCATGGACCTGACAACACACACATGCACACACCTACACACACACGCGTACATATATATACATATATATATATATATAATATATATATATATATATAGTGTGTATGTATATATAGGTCCTTCAATTCATTTCCAGTGGGAAAAGCCATCAACTACAAAACCGTAAAGATTTCATCTTTGCGAGAGAGGAGAAAATCAAGCTCCACTCTTACTTCAGATCTGAAAAAATCTGCAGGTGTTTCTGTCCATCCTTCCGCTGTGAGGCAACAGCTCAACACTATGAGTCTGAAAGGATGTGTAGCTGTCAGAAGTCGTTACTGAGAAAACAGACAAAAAAAAATTTGCAAGTCAAACAAGGAAGCTGCTTCAACATCACTGAGAAGCAGAAAATTCAACCAGCTTCTAAGACTGAACTTTGGCGATGATATTTATTTGGAAAAATATCCCATATTTTGAAAATTTCAAGCAAGGCTCAGGAAAAAAGAAGCTGCAAAAAAGGCAAAACGTTGAGTTGTTGAGGTTTGGACTGGGCATTACATAAATAAAGGGTGGTCTGTGACTACTGGTCTGCTGTACACACACACACACACACACACACACACACAAACACACATATACATACATACACAGCCACACACATGCATAAATGTAAACCTTCACACCAGCACATACCCATGCTCACTCACAAACACACACACACACTCATGGAAGAATACACACAAATAACAGAAATGAAACCTCCTGCTCTTCACACATCTATAAATAACTCATTATGACTACACAATAAAAAACCTATGACTGTTCTGAGCTTTATTTTATTGTTATTTTTTATTTTATGTCATAAATATATTTTTTACATTTATTATGTGTATGTTTGAATGTAGTACTTTTTGGCAGTAACCTGACATTCTTTACTGAATGTGACTAAATGTCCTTTTTTATGGATATATTTCTTTTACTTTTTGTCTTGTTATTACCAGATTCTTTCTGTTTTTTGGATGGGAGCTGGTGCCACCAGTGTGTTGAGAGTCTGCTATTAATAACATGCATCTGTATGTGTGTGTGTGTGTGTGTGTGTGTGTGTGTGTGTTTGTGTGTTTTAGTCAGCCACATCTCAAACGGCTAAGAGGGTAATTTGTCCTATCAACAGAGAAGAAAATCACTCTCTCTGCTCTGAAGGAACACACACGCCCTCATTCTCCAGTTTCCTCAGGGTTTGTACATTGTTGTCATAACAACAGCTAATGCTACAGCTGCTTTTCTATTATTATGATTTTTATTATTGTAATTATTATTATTATTATTATTATTACTTTTGTCATTATTGTTACTGTGTGTATGTGTGTGGATTGTTGATAATGGTGGTAATTGATGGTGGTGTGGTGCTCTAGTCTTTCACCTCTCAGCCTCTGTTCTTATCAGACAAAACACTCTTCATGATGTGTGGCTTGTGCTGCAATTAGAACAACTGAACACAACATCTATCTATCTATCTATCTATCTATCTATCTATCCATCTATCTATTTTCTCTCTTTCTTTTTGTCTTTTATATCTTATAATTAGCTGTATGTTTGTAAACACTAGGGGCAGAGAAAGAGAGAGAAAGAGGGAGAGAGAAAGAGAGAGAAATATGGAGAGAGAGTGATGAGAGGGTGGATGTGGTAAGAGGGATTTGTGTTTCCTGTAGGTTTTACTGAACATGTGTAAACACTCTCACGCTCTTCTCTCACTCTGTTTAAAGATGTTTGTGCAGTTACATTAATTGGGTTTAATGGTGACTGTTAAATACAGCTGTGTGTGTGTGTGTGTGTGTGTGTGTGTGTGTGTGTGTGTGCGTGTGGTGGGGGGAATAGGATGTCCTTGATTCTAGAGAGTGTTGCAGGTATAGCTAGTCACTGCACATAAACACCACACACTCTCAGCTCTTAACATAAAAGGTTCTAAACAGTAGGTTTCCCATCATAGATAAGAACCTTGTTTTTTGTATCGTGAAGTGTGTGAGCAGCACGCACACACACTCTGACATTAATTCCAGCAGTGATGATGCTATCTATACCTCTGTCTTTAACACGTATCTCACCTGTGAGTGTGTGAGGTATGGAGATGCAAAAATATAAACATACAAATAGAGAAACTGAGGCTTATTCTGTGCTGTAATGTCACTTAGTGGTCACTCTGATGCAGGATGGCATTTCCGCTCTAAAACATAGTCTAAAGTGTCTTTATTCTGATATACTGAGTGACACACTGATCCATACTAATGACCCAGCCTCAAAATCATTAGCTCCTACTATAGGCTAGAATGAAGTGGCTTTTGTCGCCAGGCAACCAGGCCAGGGTCAAAGGTCATGGTCTGAAGACACTAGTGTTCGCGGCTGTCTGAGTGAAAGAGTGAGAGTGGATGAACTGAGAATGGAAAAGGAACAAAGGAGAGAAAGTTGTGTGCCGCCTGGTGTGTGTGTGTTTACAAAACATGTGTGCACGCGTCAGGAAAACATTTTAAGTGCTTTCTTACAACTGTGTGTGTGTGTGTGTGTGTGTGTGTGTGTGTGTGTGTGTGTGAGTGAGACACTTCGCACAGCTGAATATTTCATGCAGCTGAAATCTGTGCCATGTCTTTTCAAAACATGACAAATTTGTTTTTTTTCTGTTTTTCTCCATTTTGCTGGAGCATTACTGAGACTTTTTGCACTGGATATAGTGAGTGTGTGTCTATGTATGTGTGTGTGTGTGTGTGTGTGTTTGCACAGATGTGAGTGTATATGCTGGCTGATGTACCATGTCCACCTATAGCTGTATTGATCTGGAGCAATTTAAAAAATATGACACAGAGCACACAATATGCACACACGCATACACACACACACACACACACACACACACACACACACACAATCCTGTAAAACTTTCCACTAATAGATACTTTTCTTTGTACCGCTATACATGTTCTGTGCTCTAAATATGATGATGCAAATGAATATTTTTATGTTTAAAGAACAGATATATCAACTAAACTATACAAAAGAAAACTTCTGGCTTCAGTTTAAACATCAATTTTGTCTTGTAATATTCTGTGCTTATACATTCTATGAAATTTTATAGAGGGACAAAGCTGTACTCTAGATTACACTTTTTAAAGTTGCCAGAAAGGGTTCCTTGCACAATGCAATAGAAAAACACTTTTGGTTCCCTAAAGAACCATGGTTTTTTTGGAGAACCGGTTTTGTAAATGAGATGTGTGAGAGTGAAGAACTTTTTAAACTTTCATATAATGCAATATTTAAGGGTTCAAGAGCCTTGATATTATCAATGATATGGTCTGTTGTTGAAATAGATCTCTGATTTGATGTCGTCAATGTGTTGTCACTGGCATGCTCATATTAGGGACTCTAGGCCTTTTTCTATAGGAAAATGAACGCTGTTGTTCCAAAGATAAAATGTTTAGTTCTTTCAGTTTTTTCAGAATGTCACTGTATCCACTGAATTATAAGATCCTTACGGAGTCAAAATATGAGTAATGCGTCACTATAGGAGATTTTTGTTGGTATATAACTGCATTTAAGGTTAACAGTAGACTTACTTCATGCAAAGTCATTTCACTGCACAGGAGTGTTAGCTTGCTTGTAGCCATATTCACATTTCAACTACCTAACAAACTCATAATTCAGAGGATCCAGTGACAGTGGGAGGAAGAACATATTGAGATATGTTCATTATTTGGGCATGTCGTCGACTACAAAATGATGCCCTGCCGCACAGATCTGTATTTGAGCGGATTTACAATAACTGTATCACTATCTCTGACGTTTTTAACATTTTAAGTGCTGTCAGCTCAGCCAAGAGAAGCTTAATTTCTCTCTGGGTGAGAACAGCAACAGCATCAGCAGTAACTGTTCCCTTAGAGAAGTGCGTGCGTGCGTGTGTGTCGTTTAGAGCAGAGTGAACACGTATAAAGCAAAATGCCTAGAGGTTGCTCCTGGCACTTTCTGGCCACCAGACGCCTGTCATAGCTCAGAGAGGAAAAAAGAGCAAGGAGCAGAGGTGTCTGTGTGTGTGTGTCAAAGGGGGTGGGGGCCCCCTGTTCAAATCATGTCACGTAGGGCTAATTCATCCGCTCTCATTAGAGCAAGGAAGGGACCGCGGGGGCCGCCATAGCACCACACACACACATACATACACACACACACAGGATCGCACGCACGACACTGGCGGAGTAGTTTGGGGAATAGAAAATTGCTTTCTCAGGAAGGCCCCGGCCAATTAAGGACCTGACCGTATTGAATGTCAAGTGTTAATTTAGGTTCTGTGTGTGTGTGTGTGTGTGTGTATGTGTAAGTGTGTGTGGAGGGGGGTTCTCTCAGCTACAGGAAGTGCAGGGTTCGTGCGATGAGCAGATTCCTGTGCAGTATATGCTGATTGGGTGTTACGTGTCACAGACAAGTGGCGAATGCCCCGAGAGAGAGAGAGGGATTAACTGTATTGTAGTGATAAAGAATGAGTGAGTGTAGTTTAGGGAAAAGACAGAGAGAAAAAGAGAGAGAAAAAGAGGAGAAAGACAAAGTGAGAAAGAGAGAGAGAGAGAGAGAGAGAGAGAGAGAGGGAAGATTGAACGAGATGAAAAAAGATGGAAGAGAGAGAGGGAAAGAAAGAGAGACACAAAAATGTCTGTGAAGAAATGTCTAAGAAGAGGGCCTAAGAGGAGAGAGAGAGAGAGAGAGAGAGAAAGAGAGAGTAGGGGAGGGAGAAAGAAGGCCTGAGAGAAGTTAGAGAGACAGAGAGAGGGGGATGCACACATATACACACACACGCTTGCAAAATGCAACTCATACCATCTACCTCAAACACACACATACACACACACTCAAACATTACATTAGGCTTGTGCCACAGTGTATGTGGGTGTGTGTAGTGTAAGCTGTGTGTCTGAAAGCTCCTGATGTTAAACTCCTCCTTCATACCTACATGATCTAATAGAGCTGCACTTAGCCTTAATGTAGCGTTATCAGCATGACACACACACACACACACACATACACACTTTCTTTAACACTGGTATTTCTCCTCCACAGAGGCTTTCAGCAGTGTATGCGCAGAACTGTTCAGCAAAAAATCAATAAAAAAACTGTATGACGCACTGTTATCTATATCTATTATCTTTTGCCCATGTTTATAGTTAACTGTGTCATACAGTGTCAGAAACCACATAAGCAAGTCTATCTGAGATTACTTAACAGCTGCACATAGTTTGAGGCGAGTGTGTGATTTAAGCATACAGTTAGCAAATGAGGGCGGCACGGTGGCGCAGCGGGTAGCGCTGTTGCAAGAAAGGCCTGGGTTTGATTCCCGGCTGGGCGACCAGGGCCTTTTTTGTGTGGAGTTTGCATGTTCTCCCCGTGTCTGCGTGGGTTTCCTCTGGGTACTCCGGTTTCCTCCCACAGTCCAAAAACATGCAGTCAGGCCAATTGGACATGCTAAAATTGCCCCTAGGTGTGAGTGTGTGTGTGAATGTGTATGTCTGTCTGTCTGCCCTGTGATGAACTGGCAACCTGTCCAGGGTGTATCCTGCCTTCCGCCCAATGACAGCTGGGATAGGCTCCAGCACCCCACCGCGACCCAGAAGGATAAGCAGTTTAGATGATGTATGTATGTATGTTAACAAATGAGGTATAAGCTTCTATTGTTTGTTGCATTACCTTAGCTCAACTAGCTTTGTCGCTCCAGTCTGAAAATACAGAAACAAACCACACACCAAACATGTCTTGGCTGATTGACTACGCTTGGGGTAAGAAGGAAAACTGGGTACAGTTGACTTTTGGCCAAATTTTCCATTTAATGCCTGAATGATGGGTTGTGTGTGTGTTTGGGGGGGGATGCATGAATGACGCACATACCAGACACACACACACAAACACACACAAGAACACACACTGCCGTTTGAAATCGAATAGAGAAGAACATTGAGATGAGATTGTGTTATTAGAGACTGCTGCTACTGACAGTGATGAGAATACACACACTATACACACGCATACACACTTACTGCTTTTACTCAACATATTCTTCTTACCAAAAACTGATTTTATATTTTTTTATTTTGGTGCCCAAGAACACTGAGTAGTTTAACCTCATCATAACGAATTTCTGACGGAAATAAATGTGATGGGGTGGAATATTTGAGGCTGAACTGCTGGCCATGGTCCTTGTTATCAAGGT